GGCTGAAGTCGGAGGCTTAACCGACCGCGCCACCCAGGCGCCCCGAAAGTTATTATTTCTTTTAAAAGGACACGAGCTCTATCCTACTTCTCTGAATGAACTATATATATTTTTTTTATTCTTTATTTTTGAGAGAGAGACAGAGGGCAAGCAGGTGGGGAACGAGAGAGAAGGAGACAGAATCTGAAGCAGGATCCAGGCTCTGAGCTGTCAGCCTGACGCAGGGCTCGAACTCATGAACCATAAGATCATGACCTGAGCCAAAGTTGGGCGCCTAAACGACTGAGCCACCCAGGCACCCCACCGAATGAACTATATTTCCAGGTAACTTTGGCCCTAGTTGATGAGGGGAAAGTTCTTGTTTACAAAAGAATTCCAGCTGGGGCACCTGGGTGGCTCAGTAGGAAAGAGCACGTGACTCTTGATCTCGGTTCCTGAGTTCAGGAGTTTAAGCCCCACATTGGGGGTAGAAGTTCCTTAAATAAATAAATAACTTTAAAAGAATCCAGCTAGTAAATGTGGAAAAGAATGATAACATCAGAAATGCATCATTTTACGACCTCTAATGAAATCATTGACTCGAATGAAGAAACTGTTACATGGGAGGTCGACGGGGAACTTTCCAAAGAAGGAATCCAGCTGCTGTCATCCAAACCTGCCACTGGTCTTAGCACCACTGAAGGGGTCTCTGATGGTGTTATGCCCAGAATTCGTGATCCCCAAAGACCACTAGGGAGCCGAGTCCGATGCAAAAGCAAAGAGCCTTTACTCGAGCTAGCTCAAGCTCAATCCCCTACCTGCACCGACGCAGCGGTGAGATACCAGGGAAAGAGAGCTTCAAAAGGACAAAGGTTTTATTGGGGCCTAGGGGCAGTTGGTGAGGTAATGGCTGTGGCCTCAGCCGATTGGCTGGGGAAGGGTCCTGGGGAAGGGTCCGAGTCCTGTTAGGCAGGTGAGGGGGGGTTACTCAAGGGGAGGAGGTGTGGTCAAGGTGAAGGACACAGAACAAGATGGAGTTGGCTGGCCCTTTCAATGGGACTCAAGAGAAGCACTCAGCA